CTCCTCCACTGCTCCAACGACGGCCGCTCAGGCGACTGTCACGCGCGTAACGGCCGACACCACCACCACCTCCCCCGACACGAGGGATGAGGATCAGGACTACACCTGCACTCACTGCGACCGCACATTCACCTCACACATCGGCCTGGTCGGTCACTTGCGAATTCATCGCACAGAGACAGGCGAACCAGTGCGCGAAGCACAAACCTTCACCCACCGCACACGCCTCCACCACCCACACTGCCCTCGCACCTTCCGGCATCGCATGGGCCTATTCGGCCAAATGCGCATCCACGAGAGCGGAACTGACCGCAACTCCGACACACCCACCACGTCCAAGACATCCGCCATGCCTAGCCCCACACCCGCTCCATCGCCATGCGCGCCCCACACCAACACCACAATCACCGCGACCTCCTTAGCTGACACTGATGCCGCCGAACTCACATGCCCAAATTGGCCACGCCCCTTCACCTCATGCATCGGCCTGGTAGGTCACTTGCGAATCCATCGCACAGAGACTGCAGAGCCAGTGCCTTGAGCAACAACCTATACCCACCAAGCACGTCTCAACTACCCACACTGCCCTCGCAACTTCAGGCATCTCATGGGCCTATTCGGCCACATGCGCATCCACGACGACCTGCGGTAGACAACCGTCGGCCACACCACACATCCCCACACTCCCTCCCCACCTCCACTATCACCACCACACATCAACACTCACCCACCGCATGCACCAACTGCCACCTCCCACGCAAGTGGGAAGTATGCTCTCGACTCGGTCCCCATGCGGCTTCGGCTGCACGGGTGACTTGTGTCCGAGACTATCCCGACACGTCAAGTGTCGTGGATAGGAAGGTTGCTGATTGAGGCCCGCTCTCGGTTCACGCAGTTCGTCACGTTGTGTGTGTGTTGTGTGTAGTGGCGGACTGGTGGGCTGGGGACGGGCTGCAACAGCACCTCCGAGGCACTCTCACGCAAGTGAGAGACCCGCCGTCCAACCGCCGTTGTGTGAAATCCTGGTGTTCGTGTATGGGGGGCCAGGTCGTGCTGTTGCGCGCGCAGGCATGGTCAGTCGACCGTGTCAGCCACCGCGCCACCTCCCCACTCCAGTCTGCTGAGCGGCTCGGACAGCGGCTGATGTGTGGGGATGGGAATGCAGAATGAGGTCGACGAGTCAGCGCACTTCCTCCTCACTATAAACAATCTGACGCGCTTGAAGCTATCACGGTGCGCTAAAAGCCGTGGCTTGGAAGGTTGCCAATTGACGGGGTAACTTGGACCTCCTCCTTAACGGGAGGCGGTCTGAGAGTCAGGCTGCAATGGCTGCTTTTTAATGTGGCCTTTATGGCATTCCCACCACTGTGTGGGATCCGAGCCATGCGTTGGTGTCACGCCCAGGTGCGGCCTCGTCCGCGCCAGCATCCAACCTCTGATGTGTTGGTCAAAATACTTGATATGTGTTGTGTGGAGCAGGCAGTGTGGTGGAACATCAAGGTGAGGATCCTTCCGAGCCATCCATCTGCGGCCTCCCTCGTCTCCGGTCTTCTTGACTCTGTCTTGACACCGGACTCAGGCGAAGGAGGAGGAGGGTGTGTAGGTAGATGCAGCGCATGAATACTGGCACTATAAACCGCTTCGCAAGTCACCGTCCCTGCTCGCATTGCTGCTGCAACATTGAGGCACACGGTGGACATCATCGAAACCGATGGTCCAACTGGCATGTGTTTGTGTGTCAGGAGGCATCAAGGGATGACGCGAAATTCCATGTGGGACTGCAGTGTAGATCGAGATCCCCTCCGCTTTTAATCTGTAGTTCTAATGCTAATCGGTGCACCTATTCTTCTGCGAGGCTTCTTGTGACTGACACCTGGTTTGAGATTGATGCGCGACGAACGCAGATTCGATCGCAGTCCGTGGACGTAGATTCCGCATGTGGCCGAATGCGGACAGGGGCGTCCCTAGATGATATTTTGATATTTAGGAAAGTAGAATGTCATTGGAATTTCTTAAACATTGCAGGCCGTTGGAATGGATCAGGATACAGGGCGGTGACTTTCACAGCACCAGGCGGATCAGCTGATATCAGCAACGACTTAACATCACGGACCTCGTTTTCGAAGAAACCACAGGAGTCGCTCGAAGGATAGCTGGAGCTGCAAGCATTCGCAGGTTAACTTCTGCGTTTCTTGATGTTCCTTCTTTGATCCACATGTTAAGAAATAAACTAATTGCAATTTAACCTGTTTTGACGTTTTTTTGAAAACGTTGAATGGTGTGGAGTGCCCTACAACTAAGGCGACCGATTAATAACGTTTTTATCTCTGAAAGGAATGAAATGAATGAATCAGTTATTTTTTACGAGGGAGATGCTCATTTTGTCGAACTAATGCATGGCTTAGGGGAGAAATCATTGTCGCCAGCGGATATGATACTTGAGAATAATTAGACGTAGTTCTGGAGATGTTCTCACCGCCAGGTGTCCCCAGGGCAAAAAACATGACATCCCATTTTTATTTAAAAAAAACTCCGAAACGGTGTAAATTGTTCTACACATGGGGTGAAAAATAATCTCTAGCATATCTCTGCGAGGACTGAGGGATGTGTTCGAGGTATGTTTGGGAAGGAGGTGCCCATTTGCTGACGTAGTGAGCAACACTAGTAAGATCGCAAATCGTAGACCTTGTGTTAATATAAATGGCAAACGTACAACTTACGGAGGCGAAAGGCTACAGGAACAGTTAGCGCGTGGATGGCGGACCTGGCACTATGAATTAGGACAGATGTCACCAAGTCCTTATAGTGTCCCACTCCTTTAAGCAAATATAACCCACCCCCACGAAATGCGTTATACTGTTGTGTGAGTTGCTTTCGGGCTTCGCTATTGAGGGAATTCTGCATAAGTGACTATGACCTGATATATCATGGAACTTTACCCTCCTTGGTAGTCGGTCTACGGAAGATGTTGGCGGCATGTACGCTGTCTGTCTTCGTAGCAGCAACTGATCCGTTACTTCCTCTAAGAAAGATTTAGCGGTTAGGCTGTCTCGGCACATATGCTTAGCAAAGATTTCCCCGAGCACGACAAGCTCACATGATTGATGTCAAGGGTATCTGAAAAAACGCATGTTTAAACATAGCCCTGGTTAGTGATTTGGCTGCAACCAGAGATACGATTAACTGAATCGGCACTATCTACGTGAGAATACCCTGCTGCATGATGCGTACCCGGTGGACAGTCAGTTATCAGCGGCGCACCTCGAGTTTGTGGTCCCTGGACCGTGAGGGGGGCTGCGTGTCTGACGAGAGAAAATCGATCGTGCTCGATGGATGACGCAGCTGGCAGATTTCGCCAGATGGCCGAATGCTGAATGCGAGTAGAGGCGCCCCTAGATGACCTTGGCAGCAGGTAGTCAGTGGCGTGCGCAGTCGTTGAGCGTGTACGTACCTGAACAATGGCAGTGTCCCTAAAACCGCCCAAGCGGCAGATGCGCTGGAAAACATGCGGACTAGGTCGGGGTTTGTCTGGTGTTAATTGGAGACGTGCGTTCAGGGAAATGTCAAAATTGGGTCCGACTTTCAGACATATGTAGACTTTTACCTTGCTAGATATCCACATTTCCATTAAAAATATCAGTTACGGATGTCAGAAATGCCAGAGTCGGTGTAAAAACAAAAGGCTGTTTTATTACTTAAAACACGGGTAGATCGCCGTCAGTCAAAATTTGGACATATTTACTCGACAGATCATGAAACGAAGTGGGAGTATTTGCAGTGTGATCTTAGAGGAATTTCAGAATATGCATATTTCCCCCTCTGTTCGACCCCCAACTTCGATCTGCTGCTTTCCTTATGCGAAAATGAACTTGAAAACTCAAGTGAGCATTACTTTCGCCTTAGTAATCGAGTGATTTTCCTCACAGTAAAATAACACTGTTAAGGAAACGCCAATTCTGAAAATTAAGTGGAGGTGTCACGTTGGTCGGCCTCCAACGTGAGACGCCACTTGGGATTTCTGGTCGATAAAGTGCATTTTATACTTTGACAATGGAGAGCCGATCAAGCTCTTCGGAGAGGCAACATCTTAATGCACCTGTTCCGGTGAACCCATCTTCTTCTTATTCTTCAAATAATCAATCCGGATCTCTCAACTTTGTCAATCTGAACAGATCGGGGTCTGTTTGGCACTAATTGGAAAGGGGCACTCAGCAAATTTCAAAATTGTGTCGACTTCAGCCTGCCAGGCAAGCCGCGCTTCTAACAAAAATTTCAGTTTCCAAAGTCATAATATTGCCAAAGTCATTTTTGAGAAAAAATGATGATGTAAGTAATCGAAAAACAGCTAGATCATAAGCAGTCACAATTTAAACATATTTACTCGGGAAATCGTCAAACGAATCAAGAAAAGCTGCAATGGATGCGGGCTTCATCATTATAAACATGCGCATGATAGCATAGGAATTGCAGCTTATAAAAATTTCACCCTTTGTACGTCCACGACGTCAGTCTGTTTCTCTCCTTCAGAAAAAAGAATCCGGAAAATCAAGTGAACATTATTTTCGCTCCAGCGATCGAGTGAATATCCTCACACCAAAATTACTCTGTTAAGAATGCTTCACTTCTGAAAAATAAGTGGGTTCAGTCTCCGTTGCTCCTAAGCCTAACTGGTGGGATTCGAACCCACGACAGTCAAGAGAGGCTTTAGTACAGCCAAAGTTCTAGCCACCTTAGATACGAGTCCCCACCGTACGACGCGAGCTGAACCACATCTAAATCAAGTTTTAAGGTTCGATCTACTGCAACGTCTGAAATCCACCAAATCTGATACCGTAAGCTGTCTATCCAGGCATAATTTCCTAATTAATACATCTAAAGTCCACCAGACGGCCACCGGTCTCATGTAATTTATAGGTGTTATGACAGATACGATTAGTGTAGCGTCGTCCGGTGGAGCCTCTTAGCTCAGTTGGTTAGAGCGTTGGCTGTACTAAGGCTTCCCCATGGTGTCATGTGTTCAGACCCCATCGAGACGCCGAGTACTTCATATGCGTGTCAAAATGACTCGTGAGTGTACTTGAGTTTCATATGGCAATTTCGACAATAGTCGGCCAAGCTGCAATAGGCTCGCATTGCGAAAAAAAATAAACAGATATGGATTATTTGACATAGTTAAACCATTGCTGTCGTGGGTTCAAATCGCACCATGGCACCGAGGTCTAACAATTCGATCAACATGAATGCGTGGGACGTTAGGAAATATATTCTGTAAACTGAAGCGGCTCTCGGTTCTGACGTATAGGCAACTTAAGACTATACAGGGGTTATAAATTTAGGTACGAATGTTGCACTCATTGCATTAGGGCTCCTGTCCTCATTATTCACAAACCAAGTGAGAGACGTGAGCAGATCACGCCACTTCAGGTGCATGGATTTGCACTAAAATCTACTGATCCGATGCGGAGGGAGGAAGTTGGCTGGGTGGTGTTTCGTATGTGCAGATTGCAGGCGCCCTCGTGTTGCGTGCTAACAGAGGGGCATCGACCTCCGTGAAAGAAGAGGATGACGCAATCTCTACTCGATCTTCTCTTCAGTCTCACAGCGACTGCCGCCCTGAATTACACCAGCCCTTCGCCTAAGCTAAATGTAGCCACAGGTGATCAACATGGTGATTGGGAATCGGCATCTTCCAGCTGCTCTACGTCAAGCATAGTCTGCTGTGGAGATCAAAGTTTTCGATCAGAGTTAGGCAAACACCAGACAAAATCGAACTGATGTAAACTGCACTCGGTTCTGTAAAATACCGGCTTCTGTTTTCATCCTGGGGGTTACAAACGACGGTGGCGTAAGTAACCGAATGAGAGCCAGAAAGATTAATTCAGATGATGCGTCGGCTCCATGGTGGCATGAAGGCGCGATTAACAGACAATAGGACCTGACAGGAGATATCAAGAAAAATGACACCCAGGTAAGCCGAATATTGACTTGTTGTCTTTGCCCGCTCACAATCTCCATTCCAGCAATGAGCCAGATTAAAGGCTAGACAAGCTTCCAGTCGCTGTCGCCACCGCCACCGCCACCGCCAACGCCACCGCCACCGCCGACCCCGAAGCCACTGCCGAGAACGCCTCCGTGGAGAACCGATGGTGTCAACAGCGAGACACGGTCCAGTCAACCGCTCTAACAGACTTCGGCCACGCACGCAGAGAGGGAGGCGTTCTCGGCAGTGGCGGCATCGGCGATTGGGAGGTTGTCTAGCCGTTGACCTAGCTCAGTGCTGAAATGAAGACGGTGAGCGGGCAAAGACAACAGGGCAACATTTAGCTTACCTGGGGGTCGCTTACCTTGTGGTCTCCTGCGAGGTTGTAGGCGAATACGCATCTTCCAGATGACGAGGCGATGGTCGGTCCACCCGTCAGCACCCGCGATCGCCTTCGTCACCAGCACGTCCCGTTGATCTCGCCTCCGGACGAGGACATAGTCCAGCAGGTGCCACTGACGCGACCGAGGATGCCTCCAGGTGGCCTTCTCTCGCTCCGGCAGACAGAAGAACGTGTTCGATAGGATGAGGCGGTGTTCTGCGCAGGTGCGGAGCAGCAGCAGACCATTGTCGTTGGAGCCGCAGAGACCGTGAGTACCCAGCACTGCCCTCCAGGCAATTTGGTCTGTGCCGACGCGGGCGTAGAAGTCGCCAAGGACAATCAACTTGTCCGCCTTCGACACAGTCGCCAGGAGTAGGTGCATATCCTCGTAGAACTTGTCTCTTGCGGCGGCGTCGGGGCTGCTAATCGGCGGAGCGTAGGCGCTGATGATGGTGGCGAATGTGCCCCCACCCCGGCGGAGAGACAGACGGAGGCTCACCAGGCGATCGTTGATTCCCTGTGGCAAACAGGGTAGTCGTCCCACGATGTCGTTCCGGATGGCGAAGGCGACACCCGCGTCTCGTCGCTCTGCCCTGGGTCGGCCACTCCAGAAGAAGGTGTAGCCGGCACCCACCTACTCCAGTTGGCCTTGTTCGGAGAATCGGGTCTCGCTGAGTGCGGCGATGTCCACCTTATAGCGCGCCAGTTCTCGTGCCACTAGCGCCGTCCTCCGTTCCGGTCGGTTGCTCCTCGGATTGTCTAAAAGGGAACGAACATTCCAGGCTGCCAGAGTGAGCGGACTCACCCTGTCAGTCTGGCGACTGCGGCGGCGAAAAGTAGGAGTAGGAGAAGAAGAAGAATAGGCCGGAAGATGAAGAGAGTGATTGTTGTTGTTGTTGTTTCGGTTTTGGCTGTTTCGACCGTGTGTTTTTTGTCTGCGGCCACGGCCTGCCTACAGACAGCGTGGTTCCCAGCGATCTTTAGGGCACCTTTTCTAGCCCCCTCCCCCTCGCGGGGGCAGGCAACGCATCCCTGAACAGGGCTGCCCGGTTATCCCAGACGGCTGCCGGACTCCACTATGGGTCACGACTTTTTATTAGTGAGAGAACGACCCGAATTAGCCTGGGACCTTGGTGGAGAGGTGATGATTTGATGGAGTGAAGTAGGAGAGAGCATACACACTACCTAACGCTATGGGACTTAGAACTAGAGTGGACAAGCGGACACAGTAACCAGTCAGAGACAAAGTGAGGGCACCACACAGAGTCAGGCACCGTTACACCTAGCTATTAGCAGAGAGAGGCATAAACTGACAGACAGACAGTCGCAGCAGGCATCGAGGGTGTCGTTTAGCTATTAGCAGAGAGACTAGCATATAAAGGGCAGGCAGCAAGCGCAGCGTACGACGCGGAACTTCAACAAACAGAAGGAAGAAACAAAGCAAGCTCACTTACCTGTGGGTAAACTTACCTGGTGGCCGCCTGCGATGGTCCAGGCAGAGCCTCGTCTCGACGATGTCGACGCGAAGATCCATCCGGCCAGCGCAGACCACAGTACCGCGCGTGCAGGTGTACGCACGGATACCCTCACCTGGTTTAGCCCGCCGGTCGAGACGGTTGCCCGGGGTGTGGCCGCTGAGCAGAGCCCAGCTACGTGGAGCCACAGGTGAGAGTTAGGTGCCAGCAAATGGACCCTAGGTGTAGTCTCACCTGCAAGCAAGTGAGCGACCACTACGACCATTACGTGGACCCACCGCTGACACCCCTACACCCCGGGCACACACACACACACACACACACACACACGACATTTCGAACATCGATTTCGACGATGACCACCGTGTGCCCCAAAGACTGCATTGTGGGAGCAGACACGGTGACTTGCGTAGGTGTTTATAGTGCCAGTAGACATGCGCTGCATCTACCTACACTCTCTCCTCCTCCCCCGCCTGGGCCCGGTGTCAAGACAGAGTCAAGAAGACCGGAGATGGGGGAGGCCACACGTGGATGGCACGGACGGATCCTCACCTAGGCGTTCCACCACACCGCCGGGTCCACACAAAAATGACCAGGATTTTTTTTACCACAAAACAATGGGGTGATGACAGTGGTCCAGATGTGCGACGATTGCCGACAACAGGGTCTGCCAGCGCACCCCTCAGCTGTTGGCATTTGCTATTACGCACAGATAACGCCTGCCAGTGTCCGATGTGGCCCCCGTTTTTGTCCAGCGCATCTAACACGTGGCCCGTTTGGAGGACACACGAGAGTTCGTCCGTCGATTTCGACGATGTCCACCGTGTGCCCCACAGACTGCATTGTGGGAGCAGGGACGATGACATACGCAGGGGTTTATAGTGCCAGTAGACTTGCGCTGCATCTACCTACACTCTCTCCTCCTCCCCCGCCTGGGCCCGGTGTCAAGACAGAGTCAAGAAGACCGGAGATGGGGGAGGCCGCAGGTGGATGGCTCGGACGGATCCTCGCCTTGGCGCTCAACCACACCCCTGGTCCACACACAAATAACCAGGATTTCAACCAACACAACACAGATTTGGAGGCCGGCACGGCCGAAGCCGCACCTAGGCGTGCCGCCAACGCTTGGCTCGGATCCCACACTGTGGTGGGAATGCCATAAAGGCCACATTAAAAAGGAGCCATTGCAGCCTGACTCTCAGACCGCCTCCCGTTAAGGAGGAGGAGGTCCAAGGTAGCCGTCAGTTGGCAACCTTCCAAGCCACGGCTTTTAGCGCACCGTGATAGCTTCAAGCGCGTCAGATTGATTATAGTGAGGAGAAGTGCGCTGAGTCGTCGACCTCACTCTCCCTTCCCATTCCCACACCCCAGCCGCCGTCCGAGCCGGTCGACAGACTGGAGTGGGGAATGGGCGCGGTGGCTGGCACGGTTGACTGACCATGCCTGCGCGCGCCACAGCACGACCTGGCCCCCCATACACACACAAACACCAGCATTTCACACAACGGGGGTTGAACGGCTTGTCTCTCACTTGCGTGAGAGGGCCGTGCAAGGTGCTGCTTCAGCCCGTCCCCAGCCCACCAGTCCGTCACTGCACACAATACACACACACAACGTGACGAACTGCGTGGACCGAGAGCGGGCGTCAAACAGCAACCTTCTTATCCACGACACTTGGAGTGTCGGGATAGTCTCGCACTCAAACACCAGGGCGGCCGAAGCCGCATGGGGACCGAGTCGAGGTGCACACTTCCCACTTGCGTGGGAGGTGGCAGTTCGTGCATGCGGTGGGTGGGTGAGTGATGATGCGTGTTGTTGGTGGTGGGGGAGGGAAGGTGTGTGGATGTGTGATGTAACCGGCGGTTGTCTACCGCAGGTCGTCGTGGATGCGCATGTGGCCGAATAGGCCCATACGATGCCTGAAGGTGCAAGGGCATTGTGGGCAGTGGAGGCGAGTGCGGTGGGTGTAGTTTGGTGCTCCAGGCACTAGTTCGCCAGTCTCTGTGCGATGGATTCGCAAGTGACCGACCCGGCCGATGCGTGAAGTGAATGTGCGATCGCAGTGAGGGCAGGGGTAGTCCTGATCCACATCACTGGAATCGCCAGAAGAGGGGGTGGTGTCGTTTGTTGTGTCGGGGTTGGTGATGTGTGAGGCGGCAGGCTCAATGACCACCGCTGGAGCAGTGGAGGAGGAGGAGGAGG